GCCCCAGACAACCATCGGTTTCCAACAAAGCGTTAAAACATGACTTTGTCTTATAACGTCAAAGCTTGGGAGCATTCTGCTCTGTATTGTGGGCGCAGTGACATTTTAAACAGCCGCACGTCGGCCAAAATTTTAGGAGATTTCAAAGTGAACATGAATATGCCATTTTCCGCCCGCCGACCAATACGCGTTCCACGGGCAGCCACCGAGCGAGCAAGCCCAAACTCTCAATGCTGTTCCACTCATAGGTGGCGTCGCACACTTGCAGGAGTATGGTGGAAGTCGAGCACGTTTTGCACATCTTGATTGGCCATCCCGCCGTTACAAGGACGACGGCCAATCAAGGTATTCAAAACAGTCCTTCAAATGGATAGATCTGGTGTGGTCATGACCACCATGATGGTATGGTGGTACCCATATCAGATCTATTTATTTGAATGTTTGACGGTGATTTGAAGGCCTTATTTGAAGGCTTGCGTGGGGGTCGAATATGAGATGTTCCGTCACGGAGTGGTCGCTGCCGTAGAGGCAGCAAGCGATGCTACCACGGGGGCTGGTCGGATACAGATACTGACTGACTGTGTTTGCATGCTTTTGACGTTTCAATTGAGAAAAACATCCCGCAGTTTCAGATGTAATTCTAGGACCAAAGTAACGATGCGGAATTATGCACGAACTGTCGCGTGCCATTAGTATTAGGTGCATCCGTATTTCCCAAGCTGACAAAACGCGACGGGGCCCAGCGAAAACACGTCCTTCCGCTGTGGAGGCCAACAGTGGCGCAGGCCGAGGCACGGACGGCGTAACGTGGTCTATCAGTCCCTGAACAACGCGGAACACACGTTGGTCATTGGCGCTGACATTGCCCAACGCGGTGCTCGGGAGACCGTAATACGCGCAACCCCAGCCCTCATGTGTGGTTGCGCGATACGCCAGCTGCGCGACCCACATAGGAGGTTGACGCTCGGTTACTTCAACAGTGACTGCCCTGATCCCGCCACTAGATTCCCCTCAAATCTTACCAAACGCACCCAAATACGAACGCCGGCCGTTCCGTGCCCCCGCCACACCCCCGCTTTGCTCTCACTCCAACCCCTCCCAGCCTCGGACTCTTCTGCGCCTTCTTCTATGGGCTTGAAGAGGAAAACCGGCCAGTCCACAGAGAGGAGGGGACGGTTCCAAGCCACCCCGAAGCCCCCCGCTGATGGGTGCTGCGACGAGTGGACGACCGGCCCACGCACCAAGCCTCAATGTGGGCTGACGTTTGAAAGCCGCTCTCCGCCACTTCGCGCACGAGAGGGCGCTAACGGTAGGGGTTGTTAGCTCTCGGGGGGGTGGCACCGTTGCCAGCAGGTCCCCGAAGGAGGGCTGGATCACGCTTTTCCTGAGTCGATGTAGCGAACGGCGCAGAACACCGTGAGAGATCTTCGTCGCGAAAACGCTTGGGGTGGGTGTACACAGTTGACCGCGCATCTGTCGACGGCCAGAACGACTTCAATCGGTCCAGGGGCTGGGCGCGCTGAAGCTCGGAACCGATCGGCGGTGTGTAACCTGCTCGTTGGCACTGCATGCGGCGCTGCTCCGTTTGAGGCGTTGACCACGAAAACACAGCAAGTGCTCATGGATGCATCACACACACCCCTCTTCGCCCCACAGCGCGCTGGTTTTCCTTTTCTTGCACTGGGGAGCCCGGAGCGTCGGGAGGCGCCGGGGGCGCTCGCTGGCTCCAGGCACCCGACTGGTACAGACGCCAGTGAGACATGTGACCCCCTGACGTGGGCGCGCACGCGCAAAGTACGCTGGCTGCAGGCTGCCGCAACGGGCCGCGACATACCGCATTTACAGGGTGGCGCGTGATGGCTGTGCGTCTCGAGAATTTGGGGTGGCTGGGAGGTGTGACGAAAATGCACGTGTGGCGCGCATCAATTCCGGGACGCCCTGCTGACGGCCCGAGGGCGTTGACGCTCTCGCCCTGGGAATGGGCGGGCGGCCGCCGGGCCCCGAAGGAAGCCGTGGCCAGCAGCCGGTTCTGGAACAGCTTCCTTCCAGAGGCGGCTTTTGTGGTTCTCGATCGCGGGGGCGTCCCTCTTCCAGGCACATTTTGTACCTTGCATTGGGGCATCTTCTCGGCTGTGGGCGAGCACAGCGCTGCCGCGACTCGGGGGGCTGGGATTTGGACATTCGCCTCCAAACGAGGTTCGTCTATGCTGGCTGCTGTCCAGGCATTGTTGGCCTTGACGCAGCCTTGCGCATTGAATCTTTCCCACGCGCTGCCGGACATGATGTCGGAACTCCTCACACTTCCCCTGCCCCCCTCAATCGACTTCATCACCGGTTGGATCCGAGCGCAGTGCTTGGCCAACGTGGTCAAAAGGAGCGGGAAAGGGAGCCAAATCGATTGACTTGCTTCCGGACCTCACGAAAGATCGATCTGGCTGCTCTGGCGCAAGCTCTCCCCAGGCTGGCCCGCAAGTCGTGCCCCCCCCCCCCCGGGGCTCAAGGAGCCATTAAGCGCGAACCGCCGCTTTGCGCACCGTACGACGTTTGGCGGTGGCGGCCAGCAGCCATCAGCAACGTTGCCTGGCAACGTTGCTCGCAACGTGACTTGCTCGGGCCAATGGTCACGAAGCGTTGACGCAGAAATCCGGCTGGCTGGATTCGCCAGTGCGTGACACAGGGCTGCCCAGTTGCGGCCATGGGCGATTACGTTGCGCGTGCATATGTTCACAATGCCGTAAATTAACCCTCACGTCGCGCTTGGCCCTCACAAACCCGACAACCGCGTTTCACCAAAGGGGTGCCACGATGGACAGGGGTTATGACATTCTGTTTGTTTTGCGGACTGATGGTGGCGGGATGGATGCTCAGCAACCCGGGCCTCCCAACCCCGTGAAGACGTGCGAAGGAGTGCGATGGCCATCACTCTAATCAATGGCGGACAATTAGGGAAATGGCGTTCAAGGCGGGATGGCAAAGCCGACCTTTGCCTCGACAATTGGAAAGGTGGAACACGAAGCAAATGGCCAGATAGATCATTTTATGTCTCTCTCAAAGTAGAGACTATGTAGATTGGGAAGGATTGCAGACCGCACATACAAATTGGTCGCAATTCTTGGAGTGTGTTGTTAGCCACACTCGAAAGCCTTGATTCACGGATCATTCGAGGTTCAATATCAGAGAAGAATTGTAGCATAGCCCTGGAATGATAGAACGCACAGAGCCCAAGCTTCAGCATCTTGAGCATTTGCTTTTCCGCCTGTGGCAAGTCCTCGCTTCGGAGATCAGGGAGGGCGGCGATTTCTGCCATCGTCAATGCTGTGACACTGGGCCTATTCGGTGGGGACCCGGACACGGTTGAACGTGTCTGGCAAGCGCCACACCACGTGAGGGACACTGCCCTTCGCCATGATAGCAATAGCGACTTTGGTTTGGCACACTTGGGACAGGAGCGACCTAGAACGGTGTGGATAACTAACGGACACCTAATCAGAGTACACATTTTTCAGCCAAATCTTATGCAATTTCAAAAAGGCATCAGAAATCGTCGGGATGAGTAACTTTTTGCAAAATTTGTAAGTCAAAGTTTCTGGCATCCAATCTTTTTGCTTCTGAAATTTATTGGCATTATCGAAGCCATTTAAGTAACTATAATTGTCTTGCAAATAGAGGACAATTATTCTTGGAGGGAGGAAGTACATTGCAGCGTATTTACAGAAGCACAAATATAGTATTTGTGTTTAGTGATGAGTAAAAGCAGGGCATGTTATTCACGGAGCAAATTTTTGTGCATTTTTATGCAATTATGCGTATTTACCTGCAAGGAATTTTTTACACATAAATAGGCGTGAAAGTGCCCAAATGGGACCTTGTACATAAAGACAATACGTGAAGTCTCAGGGTGTCTGGGAATTGGCAGTCAGACGCGCTAGAGTGGGCAGAATACAACGTTTTGTTGGGCGATGTCATTGCCCTTACCGAGGGCAAGGTGGACACTGTGTTGCGGGTGCTCAAGGAGCCGGAGGACTGACCATTGTTTAAGACATCATCGTGTAACCTGTGAGTGTGGCGAGCCGTAAAATGCATAACTATGGCCCAAAAAAGGCCGCTTCGCAATTTAAGGCCTCTGTACATGAAAATATAAAAGCAAATTGGCGCTGTAAATGCAAATAACAATTCTGAACACAATAAATGCATTTATTACGTTTATTAGATTGCAGGTTATGTTGTGCATAACACGCGCAGGCATGAGGGAATGCAGATTTGCGCATGAATGCGCACATGCAAGTCTGCATTCCCTCGTGCCTGTGCATGTTATGCACTGGCAGACAAACATCATTTTGGCGATATCCACTGCGTTGCCATTTTGACATTTAAGGTGCGCCCCTGATTGTGATGGTATCAAGTAATGCCAACTGGCGTCGCAATATGCATCACCGAAATGGTCTCTTCTAATGGCGATGCCTCTTGCACAATGTTTAGCGCGTATCCTGCTCGAACGCGCCACCTTAAATCTCCGACATAGCACTAGATTTAAACGCATGATGATTTGGTCGAATTTGCACAACGATGCACGTCTGATATCAAATGTAATGCACCTGCAACATTTCCTCGTCTTGTTTATAGAGCAACCCCATCAAAATCCAGGAAAATGTAAATCACCGTTGGAGGCTCACCAAAGTGGCGACATGTCAACCACCAGTGCAACAGAAACCCTCTTTGCCGTAGTATGGACTGAACACTAAGTGCTCATGACCTCGTAAATTAGCATGCATGCCCCCTGATTAATGCAGCTCCATTGAGTGCAAATCTATTTCCGTCGTAGACTCACACCACTACGAAAAAAGGGCCAAATAACGCGTGTTCAAATGTGTACAAAGTTTACGAGTTTGTGTTGCTTTTGTGTTCTTAGCGTGCAGAACTTTGATGAAATGTGTTTTATGTGTGTTAGAAAAGTGTTATTTGGTCTTTTTTTGCCAGTGACATTATCTTGAATGACGCAGACAAAAGTACTGTGCATGATGCACATCCCCAAGTGCCAGAATCTACCAGCAACGGCGGCTGCTTCGGAAGGAAATTTGGCCAAATTTTTGGGGCCGTGCGCCGCACGAGGCTCCTAGCCGCTGCGAAATTCATCAGAGGTGAGTTGCCCCGTAAATCGTGGCTTGTTTAATTATATCCCATGCAGCGCATTGCTTAAAGAGTACATTAAATTGTGAACATGTACTAAATATGGCAGTTAAACAACGAGTCTAGATATTCTCAAGAGTCTCCATTCAACTGGAAACAGCATATAGTATGTCGCTTTTTTAAGGTGTAATGTGGTCACTGGCATTGACGTTCACCCGAAACACAGGCCTAAAACGGTGCCTGTGTGCAATTGCGAACAACCTTTGTTTAACTTTCTCATGCTATTTTTAGGAAAGGGTGCATGGAAAAGTGGCAATAGTAGCAAACACACTCAGTACTCAATGATCGCACGTTGCCTTCAGCAGACCGACCCCGAATCAGTCGCCGATTCCAAAGGATATGATATCGATTACATACATTTGCATTCGCTTCAAGCCGGAAGGCTCAATGCCACGTACGAAATGTTGAGCATCACCAGAATTATTGTTTTCAGTATCCAGCTGCAGCATCCGCATAAACGTGATGCGCATCAAGGGAAGAAAGTACGCCGATTTTGTTATGGTTTGTGCCAATTTAACGCCTGGGTGGTGGGTGGGGTGGGGTTGGGGGGCGCAGACTTGTGACGCTAAAAGATTACGCAATTGCAACAGAATCGACATGGGGTGTAAAGGTGCGTCAAAGTGCTGCTGATAAGCAGCAATACACTCGCGACTTGTTCTTAAGCCTCTCTGAAATATTCGCTCTTCAAGGGAGTCCATAGCTATGGAAGTCCATAGCATTCTATAGAATGCGTCAATTTAAAGCATTTGGGGCTGCAACCTTGCCTATAATGTCTTCAAAATCCCATTGTTCATCCCACCGAAATTTGCACAACTCAGAGCTTTCTGCCCAAAAGACCAGCGAATTGTGTTCCACTGTTAGGTAATGTTGCTGAGTCATCCCGACATCGACATAAGGATTGAGGCTAAGGAAAGTGGTGGAGTTGGGGTTGGGGTTGGGGGGGAAGGGGGGGGGGTCTCAACTTAATTTCAAGTTCAGGCTAAGCGCAACGAAATCCACATAGAGCCTTCTTTAAGGTGATGAAATTATTGACACTTGCCCTTGCACTATTGCTTCGCAAGTACTTGCAATGTGCACGTAAGAAGTGACATTTGCAGCCCTTAGTTGTGGCATTTGCAATTCGCGCTTTGGCGCATTGTGCGTTAAAGAAACTCACATTACAGCAGATCTATTTGCACCCATGCAAGCCTGGTGCCCACAATAGCAGTCTTATTGAAACAAGAGATGGTTGCAACAAAGAAGTGAACAACCCCCTTCTCTATCTCACCCACTAGTGGAATTGACCATTTCTGGGGCGCCAATTGACCATAAATGACGCTTACTGGGATGCCGCTGGGACTCTCCCTTAGACGCGAACGCATGAGGCAGCGCTGTTTATTGTCAACACGCGTCCCAGAAATAGCCACTTCCGCCAGTGGCAGTGCTGACAACATTTTTGGGCGGGCATGATTCCAGCATCACCCAAAAGAGCAAGGCACCTTGAGCCGCTTCCAGCGGCTTCCGAAAGGCCAAAAGTACCGGAGCCTTTCCCCGACGTCGCCCTCGTCGAGCCTCCTTGCTTGATCGCCGGAGAGCCATGCAGACTTCACATCAGGCTGGCCAGAGACATTGCGTGCGTCGGCAGTTGGCCTCAAGTGCACGTTTCGGCGGGGGGAAGGCGTGTGGGCACTGCCGGGGGCGTTTACATGAGGCGAGACACAATGAGGTTAGAAAATGGGCGGCTGTTCAGTGCAGTTCCTTAAAGCCAGACGTTGGGACAGCAATTGCGATCAAATCATAATTGATTACAATGTGAATTTGAATAGCGAAATCGCATTTCGGACACGCAGCAAAAACGGGCAAGAACGTAGATGCTTTCGGTTTTCACAGCGTAAAACCCAAGCCTGATTTGCGCGTTTTTCTCCCATCATCAGAACTTCATTTTCCAATGAAGCTACAGTCAAATTCGTGGCCACGAGTTTGGAGCACAATGCCCAGAACTAAATTCAACGTTATTATGCACTGCGGTTTGGCATCACTTTATGGAGGGGGTCTTCTGCCAGATAAACAAAGTTTTTTTTCGCTTAACACAGACCAAAATTTGATTTTCTCCCAACACTCAGAATTTCCGGGGCTCACGCTTCCTTCTTGGGAACTGGTGGTTCAGGGTTTTGGTACCTAGTCTTTCTGATTTTGGCACCTGAATTTAGATGCAGGTTTTAATCAAATTTGCCTTTGAAATAGACGGCAATGCATATGGGACGGAGTAAGTGTGTAGTATGATACAAGCGAAAAATTTCCCACTGTAATTCCCTAAATTACCGCAAACCATAATTGCCGCCACATTGCACCTTGTGTGCAGCGTGACAATTCCGGCGGTCGACAGCTGCTGCGTCAGCCTGGATATCACTCCCGTCGGCCACGAGCATTCGCAGTCAACGGTCAATATTCTGGCGCTGCCGAGGCCCGCCGCACTGGAGGTCTGCGACCTGTTTGAAATGGCACAGCGGCAGCCAGACGGCTGCTATATAAAAGCTAGCGAACAGCTGGACCATGTTGACCAGGTGAGGCACCCCTGGCTCCAATTCAACATTGTATACATGTGTTTCAATACAGCCTTAGAATTCGTTGCTTACCCCAATCGCACTACATCCCAGCCACGTGCACTCTAGCTACTTTGCTCTAGCTGCTTTGCTGGCATTCTGGCGATAACTCTACACAAGGCTGATCAGCGCGGCGGTTGCCAATGCTTGCCTGAATTGGTTTGTGAAGGAGCTGCAGCGTTGCCGCGTGAACCCTTTGGAGACAGCAGTATCCCAGACAACCGCGTGGTACATGCTAAGGCTATTCTTTGCCAGATTTGAACAAATTCAAATTAGCCAATTAAACGAGGGCGGGTGCATGAACCACCAGTACGTATGCCCATGCATAGCTGCCTTAAGAAAATTCGAAAATGGAGGAGTTGGCGTGGACACGCTGTCTATGGACGCATATGTGAGGCCTCTCGTTCCGGCTGCAAAGCATCGATTCTTAAGAAACAGCAGTCACTTAAAGCCATGAATGATCCACGAGCATTCGATTCAAAACGAGCTGACGTAAATTGGCAAAAATGCGCTTGCGAAATTGCCTGCCAATCGCAAAAGACATCTGCAACTTTTGATGAAATTTGGTGTACTCATATTCGTGTATATGGATATGTATATGTATACAGTTGCATATGTATTCATTTGATGTATTCATTGCAGATGTCGCGCATTTCTCACCACCTCACCCCCCCTCCCCCGGGCCAGATGCTTTACTCTGTTGAAAAGTGCACAACCATCTTGGCTTACTCACGCCGTGGAGCAGAAACGCGGATGCTAACATTCGCGAGTAATGCTGCTATTGCAAATTGGTTTTTAAATAATCATTGCAAATAGTGTTTTATAACAAATCATTGCAAATACTGTTACAAATTGTTACATATTAATTTGCAGAAGGAGAGCCTGAAGGAGGAGCTCTGGAGCTCGTACTTCGGGGCCTTCTGCGCGGACTTCGCGTCCGTCCTGGAGTGCCTGTCGACAGGGAGCCGCTGCGCGCAACCCACTTGCGCCTGCCTGGTCAGGCACATGCTGTCCCACCACATGTGGCACTCGGCGTCCTTCCTCATGACGTCATGCATCAGGTCCGGCGGCCAGGTGACACTGGGGCCCTTTGCGCTGAACGAGGAGGACGTGGAACCCGACAGGCTGCAGGCGAATTACTTTCGAATGCGGGGCTGCGCGGTGGAGGAGTGGATGCTGGTAGAGACGCCCGGACCCGCAGGCCCATGCCGGCGGCAGAATCAGATGGTGGATTCGTATCGAATCGTGGCCCCCATCGGAGAGTCGGCGACCGAGGCGGGATCTTCTGAGGAGGGGGGAGTGTGGACAGAGTCGGTGACGTGGGTTGAGGAGCCGCTGGAATCGACAAGTGTGTGCATTGATGGCAGGGCCTGAAGGAAAGCCTCCCTTCTAGAAAAGAGGTACAACACAGAAATGCAAAGTACCAATTTCACTACCAATTTCTGAAACAGTGTTACACACACTCCCAGGGTGGAAGCGGATGGACGTGGGTCCAAACGGTCGCGCACAGCGCCTTTTGTCGCGCAACTTGGCGGCGAAGACGCCGATTGCACGATCGCTTCAATGGCTGAGGCAGAAGGGAATTCGGCGGGACTTCGTTCTGGTCATTCCTTGAATCCGTTTGGTCGAATTTTTGAATGGAGCACGTTTACCCTGAAGCACCCCGCCCCGAGCTTGATACCCCGAGGGGCTTGGCAGTTGATGGAGATCGAGGTCGGGAAAATGTATTTCAATTAATAACGACGGCTGCATTTACGCTTCGAAGTAGGAAGGTTCCGCCGTGCCAAAATTGTTCTTTTCAAGTGATTTCCACGCTCAAAGCGCTCAGTGCATGTTTCTAAAGGACTTCTGCTTGAAATGCAATTATTCTGTTAGAATACGGAGGCGGAAAGGAGTTGATGCTCAGCGTGACTGTCGTTGCAGGGTTGTTGCTCAGCTTGGATTCGGGAAAGAGCTAGGATAGCCGCATTCCACTTTGACCGTGCGCCATTGAAGGTTTGGGAAAAATATGTACAATACCAGTGTGTTGCACGACAAAATTGACGCATTTTTTGAATAATGAGCGACGCGTGAGTACTGCGCGTCGTTGTGAGCCAAGCCGTTTTCTTCATTGTTTCACTGAAAATTTGCCAAAGTTGCCGAGGCGGCATATAAACGGCGGGTTGTCTCGAAATTGAACCTTCGTGGCTGCGCATATGCTCAAAGCCCGCTGGTCTTAAAGAGTTTGCGCGGGATGCTTGGCATTCATTCCAGAGCATCCTGGTGTCATCTCTGATAGTTCATGGCGCTGTGGTCGCGAGATTAGCTGGCGCGACGTGGGATTATCGACGTGGTAATTATATGATGTGGTTTGGAAGGCAAGTTCTAAGTCACGTGACTGTGCTGATTAATTACGAAGGTCGCAAGGTACACCAATTTTTTGAATGCTGGTTGGAAAGCAATGGCCTCGCTGGGAAGCTCAGGAGGGGTGGATTTTCAGAATGAATAAATACGATCTGTTTAGGTGCATTTTTGAGGATAGACCAAAGAGAGCGTAAAGGAGCCAGAGAGGCAGGGCTGTCTGTGTTTTGTCAAATTGGGAAGTTGAGGAAACGGAATTCACTGGACACTTGCGAGCACCGCCTTGCGGTTTTCTTACTTTCAAGTTTTGCAACTTGAATGGCGTATGTTGGACTCCCTGGAAGCTGAATGCACTTGTCGGGATTGCTGGTGGGGCAGCACTGAGGAATGCGAGAGATGGGATTCAGAGGATGTGCTTGTATGAAATGTCGTTCATGTCAAAGCTTGGCCCCTAGCTCTGGAACGCCAGGATGAATCTCCGTTTGGGCCCACCCGCCCATGCATTGCGTCCTAAACATTGAAAAGAGTAATGCCCAGGGACCCCAGACGGTTTCTCCCACAAATCTGGGACCCCTGGGCCCCTCAATACAGAACTGGCAGGTTCTATATTCGAACTTTCCCACAGACAATTTACGCAAGCCATGCACAAACCGACATTCGCAAACCCTCACACTCAGCCGCACGCGCTGTTGAAACTCGAGCATGTGTTTTTTGACGTCCCATCTCAATTGCAATAATTCCCCTGAACAGAAAGCTTACAGGAACATCAAGTGAATAGTCCCTCAAAAATTTCTTAAGGAAGGATTGGTTCTTGTCATATGCGAGGCAAAACTGAACATCTGGTTGCTGCTTCGCACCCGCACGCCCACCAACGTGTGCCGACGTGAAACTTGATTTGGTACGGTAAGGGAATGGCACCCGGCATGGAAATTGTGCCCGGGTACTCGGGGTTTCCGACAAGTGGGTATCCGACAGTACCGGGTAACGTGGGTGCTATCCATCACCCAGGCAACCGGGAATGTCCGAGTACCGGGTACAAACACTACCTGGGTACATGGACGTTATCGAGTAACGGATAATGGAAACAATGGATCTAAAGCGATGGATCTAAAATTCTCTCCAGGCACCGCAACACAGCATTGGACAGCAGGACTTGGCTGGCTCCATTTGGTGACGCCGACTCTGCAGCTCGATTGAACTTGTTTTGCACGGGCCGCCTTTTTGAGGGCGCTGGAGCGATCCGGCGAGGGCCGCATGGCATTTGGTCAGCGATCGCGCTGACCGTCAACAGTCGAGGACGCTGCCGAATGCCCCAGACAGCATCAGCCTTGGCGACAGGGAACCAGAGCAGCTTCGAAACAGCCATGGAAGCAAACAGCACAAAGGATGTATCTTGTGCACACAGCGACAGCTTGTTGCCGAAAGCGGCCGCAAACAGCCACTGCCACAGAACAGAATAGCTAAAGAGCAGCCACTGAAAAGCAGGGGTATATTTCTGATATCTGCACAGAACAGCAACAGACATACCACAACAACAACGACGAAAAGCAAGCGCGAATTGCCTTGGTATTTACGTTTGCGGCTCCATTTTGCGTTTACATTTTTACACGCAAAAACACGTAAATAGAGAAACGGCCATATTTTCGCACATTCAAACAATGATCAGTGCTCCGCCCTCTCCAGAAACGGCAACTGCTGGACGCGCTGTCCTGCGCACACCAGACGTTCACATTGAAATGGGCAACAAGTACTGACTGACCCGAGGAGAACTGTGCCACCTCAGCCGCTCCACCGCCTGCCAGAGAACCTGCAGCACCACAGGCGGAACTCCGCCTCGTTGGATCTCTCAATTCCAACTCGCTGGCTCTATCGGATGTCCTCCAAGCGCCCAGCCCATAAGCTAAAGAAAAGAAAAACAAACTACAACTGCGAATAGAGCTGGGGCGAATAGGCTCCTAGCACGACTGGAGACGCCCACATGCCCAGAGTGGCGGCGATGATCTTCTTCCAAATTTGCGACACCAAAAACGCCAGGGAGAGATTGTTGGTAAAAAAACTGTGCAGTTCCCGGATAATCCGAGCGGCCGGCCATAAATCTTCAGAAATGTGCCGAAATTTGCAGAAAATTTCTTGCACCAGCCTTGTGGCTACCCACTAAACCTTGTACCCGTATTGGCGGGTACACGTACGTGCCCAGGTACCATAAGAAGTTCAGTTCGTTGCCATTCCTTTGTGGGCTCGGGGATCTCCCTCAGCCTCCGCATGCCGATTCGGCGATTAGAATCATGCAGGGTTGATATCAGCGGTGTAAGCACAGCGTGCAATTAGGCTTTCACGCGCAAACGCTTGTAAGCATACGTAAATAGAGACCTGCGGATATAAAGACAGCACATGCGTCTGCCGGGAAGCAAGGGAACGGCATTCAGACGCGCTGGAATGGTCAGGAAACGGCCTTTTGTTCGACGGAGTCGTTGCCGTTGCCAAGGGTGTGGTGCACGCTGCGTTGCGGGTGCTCGAGGTTCGGCAGCCAATCATTGCTTGCGACTTCATCACGCAACGTGGGGTTCTCGACATGCGTGCACATCACAGGAAAATAGGTGCTACTGTGTTTTTGAATTTTTGCGCGTAAAACCACAAAAGTGAAAAAGGTGCACCGAACTGAATGGCAAGCCTACAGCCACGTGCTGCATCACCAGTGAAGAACAATCAGCGCGCAGAATTCTGTGCGCTATGAGCATGCATATTCGAATATGCATGCTCATTGGAAAAGTACGCGACAGTCCATCTGGGAAAGTAGTACAAGTTTTGAGCGCAATACTGCACAAGCTTTATGCAACGTTATGGATGCACTGTTATTGATCCAAATCACAGTCACGTCTTAGCAAATACTCAATACGTTTATGTCGACAAGCATTGATGCGTGCGACAGCGCTGCGTCAAGGCTGATGGACTGGTATTTCTGTAGCACTAGTCTACGTTGCATCGGTGACATTGTGTGACATACAATGCACTGGTGTTGCATAATAATTTCCCTGAAACTATGGGATTTAGCAGCTTACATAATCAGCGACGAGAGACTGCCATTTCGGAAAGAAAACGAGACTTTGCAGCTCTGAACGGATGCTGACGCAATGCTCCAGAACGTGGAGAGGGCAACGCATTCATCTAGGACACCATTCATACAATACACTACAATTGTAACTATACAACATATTAATTCCTTCGTACCAGAAAAAAATTGCAGCTACAAGGGGGCTCTCATGGACCCAGGCCTAGACCCCACCACCGAACTGTCGGTTCCAACCTTCTATTTGGCGTTAGCATGATATTTTTGCTGCGATTTGGTGCACCTATAGGTAGCGATGCCACATTTTTCTATACACTTTGTTTTGCAAGCATTTGCAAATCTTGGCCATATCATATATCTGAATAGTCGGGAATGCAATGGTGTATTGGCGTTGAAAAACTGGAATCCTCTCTTTATTTGTTTCCCTCGCCATTACGTTTTTGGCGACGGTGGGGAGTCCATGGTGCAGTAGCCCATACCCCAATCTGTTTGCTGAGTGCAAGGGCCTGAATGGTATGTTTTGTGCATGGCCATGTGCTGAATTGGCATATTATTGTGTTACTCTATGGATGCTTGTGATGATGGGTGGTTGCGAGAGGAAGAAAGCCATTTGCGTTTCGTGCCACCGATTGCTAGGAAAGTTGTGCTCAACTTTGGAGCTGCCCTAATGGATGCTAGCATATAATCCCGGGATCCGCGTTGGAGCTGCGTTGTGAGAATGCGTGTGTTTGACGTTGAGCTGGTGTGGAGTGTGGGGTCTGCGCTTCCTGTGCACAGTCCAAGGCGGCGGTTTGAGTCACCACTCAACCGGCTATCCTCTAGTCATGATAATGAGCTGAAATAAATAGAAACAAAGTGAAAGCAATACATCAGTATTGAACAACAACTAAATGAGAGATGAATAAAGTACCCCAGAAAATCGTCACTTGGACTGCCGGTCCAAGCGCACTGCAATGTATGCTGAGATGCACTGTGGGAACAAACAGTCTGTTGAATATAATTGCCTGATTGGAAAAGACTACTTCCAGTTCATTCTTTACGAAATGGATAAACAAAGACACTTTGTGCAAAGCACAAGCAATACCCATTCCCACTTTATTTCAATTAGCATGCTCTTTGCACATAAGAGCTGTGCAGAGCATTGCGCTGTGCTCTGCCAGCAGACTGACACAAACCTCAGGTCTGCCATCTGTGAATCCAGCAAAGCAGATTCTCACACCTCAGCAGGTAAATGCCATCCCCCCTACACATTGTACAATCATTGCTCACTACAGGTGATTAGAGCATTGTGGTGTGATCTATAGGATATTTTATACAACCTCTCAGCCTGGCCCCTCAGCTGCTATGTGCCTTTCACAGAATGCTATAGTTCTAGAGCTTCAGTGCATTTTGCGTCAAGACCGGTGCTGCCAAGTTTTGCACTGTCATCCTTGACATACATCTGTTGTTGCAGTTGAGCATTTCACTCACCTGCAATTGATGAATGGCTATAGCAGCCTCACCAGAGTTTGTCCTTGTCTTGGGAATGTGGTACATGTCCCTCTTCATAATAATCTTCCATATATTACTCCATATAGCTGGAGGACTAGACTGAAGCGTTTCAATCTCATCATTTTCGCTTGTATACCAGCATGGCCTGTGGCATATTCAAGTCCACGAGCGGCTTCGCAAGGGAACTGGCAACAACACCTTCATGAGAACTGACCCTAGAGTCAATTGGCTACAATGGCTTGTGCTCGTTGGCACCGTGGGCCTATGCCGTGGTGATGCCACGGTGCGCAGCAACTCATACCAAGTCCATGGGCCACGTCTTGGTTCTACCACCTGTGGCACAATCCTGCTATTCAAGCCCCAGGAGAGTCATTGATGCAAATTGCTAATCTGCAAGCACTGCACTATACACACCAAGAATCTATTTTGCTTTCCTCACGTTTCTTGGCGTTTGTAGATCGAGATATTTGGGGGTGATTTTGGGGTGATATTTGATGCCAAGCTCTGGCCACTGGCCCGCCCACCTGTTCAGTGCAGAATGCGGTTGACGATATATTCCAAGGCAAAGCTCCATCCCGGTTGACTGAATCCAACATATATATATATATATAAATATATAACAACCACCATAGACATGCCAATTAGCAGTTAAGATCTTCATAATGAGCGGTGAACAAGGCCTCTAGAAGAACGAGTCACATCTACCTACTCCAAGGCTGAATGAGAACTAGGTCATCGGTGGGTTGCCTTCTCAGGTGGGGTGGGCAGGCAGATTTGTAGAGCGTATGGGGGGGCCAAGTCACCCCTGAAGCTCTCGGCCCTTTTGCTTCTAGTGGTGTATGATGGGTGTAGTCACGTCCGGAAGGCATGTGGCAGTAAAGCCGTCTTCATGCCCCAAGTGATGGGAGGCGTATCCCATCCCTGCCCCAACTCCCGGAAGTCAGACCACAATCAGCAACTGGATCGTTTCACGACCGAGCTTGTTCAAGGGCTGATATGCAAAGGTGTGGGGAGCCAACCTGCTCCTGAAGCTCTCAGCCCCGTCACCTTTACTGGCGTTTGACTGGCACGATCACTTTTGCATGTGGCAGCAAAGCCACCTTCATGCTCCAAACGATGGGAGATAATATCCCATCCATCGTTGCACCAGTATACACATTGTGTATCACACAAGCAAGCTACAATTAGCGATTGGATCGATGCACAACTGGTTTTTTTAAGAGCTGGGAAAGGGTTTGGGCCCAGCATTCGCCTCTCGAATCCGCCAAAGCCGGTTGGGCAATCTCCGCTGCCAGTGCCAGCCTGTTGTGCCAGCACTTTGTGCTAAACTGCAACATCTCATTTCTGCACCACGGCACGTGAAAGCGTAGCAACTCACACACTGACCTACCATAAAGCCCTCTTCACGACCATGGCTTCCCCAGCCAAAGCCCTTATCCGATCCTGACAAATCGCCGTCACACCTCACTGTCACGTCCGCATTCCCTGTTGCGCCGGGCCGCTCGAGTTCTTTGCTCCGGAAGGCCTTGGGGCCTTAACTGAAGCGTTAACTACATGCGCTCCTTGTACCCTGTTAATAATCACTGTAATGTCTAGGTTAATGAATTGTGGCCCTGTAAAACAGCCAAGTCATTGAAGAATTCCACAGTAATTTGCTTCATATTTTGTTTTGGGTCTTGTTGGTGCTCCCAAAATTTTGAGTCAATCGGCTGATTATTCAATCCGCAGTGTCATGTTGAAATACGCCAATCGGCCAAAAATTTTGGAAATATTCAAGCTTTTTGAGGGATGCAGACAAGAACTGAGATGTCATTCAGATGGAGGTTAACACTGGTTTCCACAAGCTTGACTTGTGGTCTTTCTGTTTTGACATTATTTTGTGCAATGGAACGAGGTTTATTAAACTTTGTCCCAATTTAAATCCCGATTTTTGTTGTTTTATATCAGGGCAATTTCATCTGGTACGGGGGAAGTACCATATTGTTGATATACTTCTTATTGGGACAGAGGAACTACGGATTGTATGGAGGGATAACTGGATAATGATAAATGGATAACAGGATAACTGGACAACTGGATAACTGGATAACTGGACATTGGATGGATAACTGTCGGGTCATCACTTTCCCGACCAAGTCGCTGGCCATGCACACACAACACACAGTCAGACCTGACGGCCGCTTGTGGCCGTGGTGAAGGGCCCAGTTCGGCAGGGGGCCCCGGCACCCGCGCGATCGGCCTGCCCACTCACACACGGCGGGCGGCCCCGAGGCAGCCAGGCCAGCGCCAGGCGCCGCCGGGACGGTCTGACCGGTTCAACGCCCGGTGCATGGTTAACCGCCTGACGGTCAGCCCATCGTTTGTATCGCGCATCGGCGCCGATCCAACGTGGCGGCACGCACCGCAGGTGGGCGGCAAGGGGCGGCCGGAGAGGGGGGAATGGCCTGGCATGGGGTTTGGTCGGTTTTTCGGCCGCCGTTCTTTTGCAAATATTTGAATCTGGTGGGTGTGGCGGGGCGAATGTTTTCCTTCGCGAGGGCCCCTTAAGGATCTCGGGGGCTTACTGGCGGCCAGGGCCGAACTCTCATGGGTGGGGCGCCGGGGATCAAAGCCGGCGGCGGGGCAATCGCGAGCAGAGGCGCGTAGATCTCGCCGGCAGCGGCGCGCCCAGGAGAGTAGATTTCTTGATCAGCGCGAGAGTCCGTGGGCGCCGGGATGCCGGGCACGGGTTACAATCAGGGCCGGTCGCGGGTCGCCGGCGATGCCCTCCGATTTTCCAATGTCGCCCAAACCATCGAAGCCCGGAGACCACGCGGACGCGCGCACCTTCAACTTGCCTGAGATGACTCGCATCTCCGCGCGCCCGCCGCCTATCCGCCTCGCGTCTCAGCCCATTTTCCGGACTCCCCTCACACTGCGACCCCGTTCAAATGCGCAGGGCCCTTCCGCACCCTTCCCAGCCCCCTCCCCCCATATTTCAGCTGCATGTTTCTTCCTTTTCATGCTGTCTTCCCGCCGCATGCATCGATCGCTACGGTCTGCCAAAACCCCTGCCCGCCAATCCACGGGGACGCTCCGAGACGCGCCCATCGCCAATCCATGGGGACGCTCCGAGACGCGCCCATGGGGCCATTCGCATTGCGCTCCAATGCCTCGCGCGTTCCCCCCCTCGCCCACAGCGGCCAGTCAAAAACTGACCTCTGTAAACTGACCCACGGTGGTCAGCGCGTCGCGTCGACCCCTGTTTGAACGCCGCGCCGGCGGGGGCGCTGCGCCCGCCGCCTGCCAGCGTGCCGCGTACGTGGGCGTCGATGGGGCTGAGGTTGGCGGCTGCTAGTACTTTAGGGCCATGACTACTGGCGGCAGTAGTTTGTGCCGCCGGGGGGGGGGTGGGTCATCCGGGCGCCGCCCGCGTGGGAGGGGCTGGTGCTGCTGGGCGTGGTAGTCACAGTGCAGTAATTTTGGTTCAAGGCTTGTTGTTGGAAGAAACATAGACGTAATCTTTAATATCGGAATATTTGGATTGCACGAAGATTGCTTTGATGAACGAATGTAACCAACGGCGAAGAAATGAATAACAGTGCATTGCAAAACTTTGCCATTAGGAAACCTGTGTGATGGATGTAGAAAGGCAACGGCGGAAAGTAGAAATAACGGTGAAAAGTGAAACTGGGATTTGATGGATAGAGAGGAGTGTAGCGTCACGGGTCTGACACCCCCTCCCCTACCCACCCACCCACCCCTGGTGTCAAATTGACGCTAAGCGTATCAAAATCGACATGGTGCCTTCCCTTATGCCAGGCACCACCGGGAGCAATGAGGTCGACAGTTCTGGCGCTGCTCCTCTCGTGGGCGTGCTGCTGCACCGCCCTCCCGGTTCCCCAGCCGCCCTGTGCCCATGCCACACCCACAAATGACGTCATCCCCGGTCTACACCACCCCATCCACAGCCCCGATGATGTCATCGACGCTCGATCTCCCTTCCAACGCCTAAACGACGCCGCCAACGTGACGCACGGACACGCGTACGTGGCAGATGACGTCATCGGTGGGTGCAACCACCATCATCCCGACCCTTGGGTCAGCAATTCGTCATCCGATTACGCCATGCTCGGCCCGAGGGTCGGCGGGTCCAACGGCACGGACCAGGGGGTCTTCGAGGACTTCCAGGGCGGCGGCGTGCTCCAAGAAATCACCGTCTGGGCGGCCACCATAGATTTCGGCAACATGTACTGCCTGGTGAAGATCGCAGTGAAGTTCACGAGCGGAGCTGTCTTCGCGGCGGGCACCGAGATCAACAACCCCACCGTGGCCAGCTTCGAGTTTCAGGAGGGCGAGCGCATCGCGGAGCTGAGCATGTGGGACAACGGGGAACAGAACAATTTGGGTCGGCTGGCGGCAATCCAGTTCTTGACCGACAGGTGCGGAACAGAACACTTCGCCGGCAGCGCGTCAATTTGTGCAATTAATTGACAGAAAATTAGCGAACTGTGTTATAATAAAAAATCGTATGTGATGTAAGAACTCGTACTTCTTCCGTCCCGAAATTAACGAAACAGGTTGATTTGTGAGGCAACTTTTTTTATCAATCATTCTCAATTTACCTTCAAAATCATGCCACGGCAATGCACACGAGTTTGCTGAATCCAACCAAATTTTGTGGAGAATGGATACATGCTGCGCTTATGGCAGTACTTTGAGCCGTTGCCACTACTGTCGAGAACTCGAAAATTCTCAGTCTGTCGCTGCACCCGCCAAAATGGGTCCCTGAATGCGGTCCCTTCCCGCGAACCTCACGGTGCGGGAAGGGTAGAGATGCGCACGCCGCTCAGACTCAAGATGATAGGGACAGCCCCGAAGCTACAGCTTGGGGAGGGCGGCAACATCATGCAAATAGAAGCGATGGTGAAGCCGTGATATGTGAACTGCGGATTACTGTCAAATTGCCTCATTTCGGGGACTTGCGAAATGAACTGAACGACCACTTTTGGTCCCCCAAAAATGATTGCCAAGGCTCCTAAACCTGACCTTTCGAAATCTGATATCGCATTTGAAATTTGGAATACGTGACTGTTATAAAATAGATATTGGTTAGTTCCGGGATGCGGCGTATAAATGGGCGGACGTGGGGTGATTACCGACGACCATTCAAAAATGGAGGTAGTGACGCATTCTTCCTTTGATGTATACTATATTTGATTATAGTGTTGATATATTTGACTATAATATTTGATTGAATCATTCCATGATTAGTCTATTAGACTGATGTGTATAAGTCCTTAGTCGCTTCATGGACACTATTTTCGCCAGCGCCCTGAGTGAGCGAAAGCAAGGCATTCCGCACAACGCTTATTGGACTTGCGGCAAACCGACCATGTCCTGCAGCCTGCTTCCGGCCTATATTATGCAGCCTGTCCACATTTGTTGCCATCGCAGCAGCACATTTAATCCAAATATCAATCCGCACAAATATGAATCCGTATAAATATCAATCCGCGCAATGTCCGTACAGATGTTAACGAACACCAATGAACGAATAGTAACTATTGCTGCAAGCGCGCAGTACTTCGATGCGTGCTGATGCACAGCATTAATGCTGTATTAATGCACAGCGCAAACGCTCCGGCGTTAGCATTACGAACGGCGTGCTTGCAATGCCGCAACAGGCGATTGACAGTTTGAATGAGCTGACCCACAGGGGCAGAAAATTCGAGCAGGGCGTGCCATGCGCCCGGCGCGGCGAGGAGAGGCGCTTCACGGGGGCAGCCCTGGGAGGGGGTTTAGTCATCGGCCTGCACCCCCACGCGGGACTTGCCATCGATTCCCTGTCCCTGCTGTATCTCCGGCCGATCAAGGCCGTAAAGGTGGTCGTCGGGTCGTACCCCGGCCTGGGCCAGGTGACCAATCCGCTGGAGAGAATATATCGGTCCCTCTGTCTGTTCCGTGGGGAGCCCTTCTCCTTGTGCTGGCAAGGCCAACGCCGGTCGGTGGATCAGTGGGTTTGGGGTTAGGGCGCCAGGTTGCGGTTTTGCTTTTACGTTTTTACGCGTAAAAGCGTAAATTTGCAAAAGGGCCTATTTTTACGGCTACTTTTACGTTTTTACGGCTCGCTGGCACACGTAGTTTACACGATGAAAGTTGCATACAATGATCAGTCCTCTGCCATCTCCATCACCCGGAGCACAATGTCCACCTCGCCTGTGGCAAGGGCAATAATGGCGTTCCCATAAAGCGGCTTCGTTTAACAACCTCAAGGCGATCCTGGCATCGGACCTCATGTTCCTATATGTGCCAGTTTTGGACGTATTCATATTTGGGCACGTAAAAACGTAAATACGATCAGTTTTTACGGCGTAAAAACCAAGCCTGATATTTATTATTATAATAGATCCTTTGTGATGATGCCCAGGCTCGGAATTACTCTGATTGAAGGTGTTGCACCTTTGGAACGCCGATTTCACGCATTTGAGAACGCAGACTTGCAATAGTGGTAAAGAATGTTCTTGCTATTGCACTTTTTCGTGTCATCACTGTTCATGGTGTTCATGTTGTTGCTGTGGTTGTGTGCCACGGAAGCGACAAATTTGAGATGTTCGGTGTGTTCAGTGGCCGCGGCGCCCAGACGAGGCTGTTGCTGTCTGTGCGTTGAAGCTCAAACAATGGCACATTGAATGGAAAATCTATAGGAAGAATTGTTATTAATGACAAAGAGAACCATCAGGTCGAAATGCCAGCCCTGCTGAGTTGACGTCGATTTCTGGGGGCAACGGTCCAGGGAGCCCAGGACGGCAGTCCCATCAAGCGCGCGTCGGCGTCCCTCCACAACACCTACGACAGGGCTCAGATGCTTAACCTCACCGGCGTGACGACAGTGGAGACGTCCCACCGGTGGGTCAGCAGCATGTTGACCGAGAGGTTCGGTGTGGATCAGTTCTCAGTGGTGGCGCCTCTACCGCTCGTGGACGAGGTGGGGCCGGAATGCCGCACAGCGTTTTGTCTGGAAATGACCGAGCTGCGAAGCAGCAATGGGCGGGTGGAAGTTCGATCAATTTGGTTGAATGGTTTGAATAAATTTGTTCAGGAAACGCGGTGCTCAGCAGCGCTTTGGTTACCAATGTGGCGATGCGATTGCGCTATTGGACGCAAATGGGTGATGCGCCTTGAGTTGGAAAAGCAGTATAAAAGTCACTTGAAGAAAACGGGAAAACGTGAGATAAAGTGTTCAAGTGCCTAAAGTCCTCATGCCTGCCCTAAAGCCACGAATCTTTTTACGTCCAGCAGATGGCCTGTTCGATGAGAAAGGCAATAAAAGTGAGGGAAGGAGTTCCTGCCGCAGCACTGCACAGTACTATACATCACACACTGGCGGAGAAAGAGCAAATAGCATTTTTGCGAAAACAAACACATGCATTTCATCAGTGTTCTGGATGACAACAACACGGAAAAAAACAGCCCGTGAACTTTGCACACCTTTGAACACTTGTTATTTGGCCCGTTTTCTTCCTAGTGGCACCAGTGTAGAAATGGAGCTTAAAGTCAGAAAGCATCCCTGCCTGAGGTAAAAGCCACGTTTCCGTTTTTCTCCATTAGGGGCAGTCCGGCGTGTCATGGAACACCGGCGAGGTGAGGTGCTTCCCGTCGAACGAGGCCGTTACGGAGCGGATGGTGACAGTCCTTTTTTATGCGTTGCTGGACCCCGGGGAGCGGTGGGAGGGGGTGGCCACGACCATGATGTACGGCGGCGGCCAGGCGATGCCCTTCGCGGGGGAAGCTTCTCTAATGACCGAAAACGAAGCCGTGTGGAAGTTCGGCGTCAGCGGAAACTACACGGGGCTCGCCTTCACGGGGCCCGACGTCACGGGAAGGAAGGTCCCCCCTCCAGGACGGGCCGTGGATTAGTCAGGCGGCAAAGCACGGGGGAAAGTACAGGGCACCAAGATCTTGGGCTTCTGGAAGTCCTGCCTGCATTGCTAGTGTAGTGGGCGGGGGGCACGCTGGCTGGAGTGTGGATGTAGATCAGGTTCAAGATCTCAAATTTGGGGGTTGGGGATTCTCTGGCGGTATGGGCGGCGTTGGGCGCCCGGTCGGTTGTAATGCCATTTCGGGGAAGAAGTGGTCAACTGAGTGCTGTACAGTACTGAGCTTTGTGCCATACTTTCCGGTGATAGTGTTTTCTGTTAGCCATTGAAGGGACCAGGAAGAAAGAAACCAGCGGGCTTTGGGGCAGTCCGGAGAGCATTGGAACAGCAGTTCGTTGCCTTTTCGTTTTCCTTGCTTCCTGGAGCTGCCTTTCAGGTGAGCTGGCACAAGCAAGTGCGTAAAGTACTGTGCCGCCCACCGCTTTTTACAAAACAGAGTTGCGGTGTCTGCCAAGCGCACACTGCGGCATGTTTGTTTTCGGCCATGTCTTCGTTTTCCGGTTTCGGCTTCGCCCAGAGGAGAAACAAGTGGCGAATTGGCGCATCACGTCGTGCATCACAACCGGCTTTTGGAAACTGTGCCAGTTGACAAATTTCCATGGATCCGTTGAGAGAGCGTTCTGGACCGCTTGCTGCATTGGGAGTAGAGTTGGGCTGGTGCACGAGCCTTAGACATGTCGAAAGCTTGTAGACGACAGCAGATGGCGTTGTGTCAGAATCGTTTTGTCATGACGCCAGGCGTCGTTGTCGTTGCCTTGATGAATTGTAAGAGGGGGGCAGAGCGCCCCATCACTTGTAAACTATCGCATTTCGAGGTTCGCGGCACAGGTGAACCTAGCTTGGCCTGGACAATGCCACCTGTGTTCCAGATTCTGGTCTCTCGTCGTTTTCATGCTCTGTGTTTGCACTGCAAGATCAGGGAATCGGGATGGAATATAAAGCAATAAGCTATATAGTATATAACTAATATAGTACAAGGTATATAGAGTGTGTAAATATGTGATAATAAAGCAACGTTGATGGGCCTTGCTGCAACGAGCTTGTTGATGCGCTACCTATCGATGTTGCCGCAACCCTTGCACATCAACGTCAGCAGTATTGCCCCTGACGTCACTGATGCAAACGCATTTCAAACAAAACGACGTTTCCCTTGTGACAATATGCATGCCAGCTCCCCGCAAGTCAATGCGCATTACACAACTCCACACGCAAGTCAACGTCAGTCAACGAACACGCACGGCGTGCGCAGCAGCGCTCATGAGCCCATGGTGCCCACGGGGCGAGCGGCCGGCCGTTGTGCGTCCCACCCCGTATCGTATCGTATCGTATCGTATCGTATTGTACACTTTCGATCGTCCGCATGTGTGACTTCCTGAGTAACTCCTCGACCTAAACCTACAAGCAAAATTTCAGACCCAAGCCATAAATAGCGGCGCTCTCCTAACCCTGGCGCCCCATCAGGTCGCTGTGCTATACACCCGACCGAACCAACACTTTGGCCCCAGTACTTTAGCACAACCTGCTTCATCCCAGCACCTTGCGCAGTGTGTTATTGTGCCCACCCGGCCCCGTGTGCTCAAAGGGCACCCAGGGGCTGCACGAGTGTGCCTGAATCTGCACGAGAATCAACTTGAGGGCGCCTCGAAAACAAATTGCAGCCGTTGGCCCGTCTTTGTCATCCCTCCCGTGCCATGGCCATGGCAAGGCCCCCCCTGCCATCCCTCCGAAGCCAAAAGAACTCACAACTCATCTCTTGGCATCCAGTCGCTCCGAGCGCTGCCTATCAACCAATCACCACGCCCAAACATCCCTGGCACAATGCGAGACAAAAGTAGGCAAAAGTGGAAAGTCAAATCGCCAAACAGATTGAAGAATCAGCATCGCCAAGCTATGGCTACCAGCACTCCCCATCAATGCGCCAGCGTGCGAATCTGCCTTGGTGCTTTTCTTGGTCGCACAACAGGCATCCTCGATTGCAACATGCGATGCAAAACAGAGATCGACAGAAAAAGTGACATCCGTGGAAAAATCTGCGAGGCACCCAGGCATCGAGCACCCAAGCGCCGAAACTGCACGGACGCTGGTACTGCCGTTTATTTGGAAGGATATCTGGCGGTGGTCCTTGAGGCCCGCCCGCGCTTTCCCTCCACAGTATAGTTGGGTGCCTGCACCAATTCTATAAACTTACCACCAACAGTGCTGACCAGCTCTATGTGACACACAGTGCTATCTGGGTTATTTCACCCACAGTGCCTATTGCCCGTCAGCCACAACTCCCAACAGAACACGCTTCGTTTCACTACTGAGCTCAAATGCCTCTGGCAACCAAGCATGCCATTGAATCCCCACAGCCCACGCCCTCCTCCTGCGCCTGTTGTGCATGCTGTGCATGCGGCACATTCACGAGAGCGCTGTGCGTGCTGTGACTGCACAGCCCTGCATATTCCCACACCGCCTTCAAAACATCCCGCCTTCAAACCATCTTCTGTGGAAGGGGATAGAGTCTCACCAGCTCACCCCCCACAAAGGGTGGCGGCCACCTTGCAGCACGCACCTCCATTTTCTTCCAAGTGGAATGCTCGAAATGGCGCCACTGCTCCATTCCCCATAACACCCCCGGGGGTCACCCTCCTCAAGCGCCCACCCCTGCCCCTCTTTCAGAGCCCCTTGACCCCTTAGAGGTCTGCAAAAGTGCACTTAGGTCAGAGCGGTACAGTGCAGTGCTACAGTGTACCAGGTCTGCTACAACTTTGCCCAAAACAATGCTCAGGGCGCTCGCTTGGACCTGGCCCACTTCCTGGTCCACAGGTCGCCCCCGCTTCCCTTTGCACCCACCACCCGTTTTCCCACCACCAGATTCTCGGGCCCCACATCGCCAAAGTCCCTCTCCAGGGATTCCACAGAGATGTCCTCTTCAGACAGTGCAAAGGGGCCCAGGCTCACCCTCGCACCGGAGCGCAGACACGTGGTCAGCAGGAAGGATGCCGTCGCCCAGCGGCGGTTGGCGATGAGGTAGGTGGCCAGCGGGGCGCGGCGGCCGGCTGGGCAGTCGCTGGCAGCGGCCTGGCCCTCAAGAGCAGAGGCGAAGTCAGAGCTCAGAGGGCGGAAGTGCGTCATCCAAACCTGTTCCTTGAGGACCTGGTCAGCATGGTGCTCCTTCAGAAGGGGCCTCCTGCTGCGCTGGGTGTCAAAACCATCGGTGACCTGGGGGCAGGGACGGCAGAGTTGAATTAATGAATGAGCATCCTTGCAGGCAATGTGAAAATTTGACACTTTGGTCATGTTACGTATCTCTGGTGAAACTCAGATTGTCGGACGGCGTCCCCTTCTTGGTGACCTTTTTTAGTCTTTTCAGTCTCTTTTTAGCTCTTTTTTATCGTCACTGACCTCATGATGACCTCAGTGACCAGCAAAGAAGGCAGCAGATTTGGCGGCCAGCTATCACTACAACACTCGTTGCTGTAACGTTTGACACTGAAAATGCTTTGGTATTCTCAAGCTGAAGCGGTGTTTCCTCCTTTCCACAATTTTGCATCGCCCATCCAGGGTAGTTCGGCAGCATTCAGCAGACCAAGTGTTGCCTGGTTCCTGTTCGTTCGGCATAGGGCAGGCTTGGGGTGGGGTGTACAGCCATGTCCGGCATTCTGTCAGGCAAGCACTGTTAAGTACTACAGCTTGTACTGCTTTGTCCCTCAGTGGGAATCCCTCTTCCCTTTTTGGAAAAGCGACTCGCGTTTTGTGCAGGGGATGATGAATCGATTGAATAACCCCAGAATGGAGTGCTCAACAGCGTGGCCTGAACATGTATGCTTGGGCAAAGCGCCCGTGTGCTTAGCAGGCGCACAATGAAACTCCAGCCGTGGTACTTTACAGCACACGGCAGTGGGTCATTCAACATGCCGCTTTTTCCGCACAGGAATGAAATCGTTGGACAAAACAGCGTGAACCAGCATTTTCCAGCCACCATTGGTCGCCCTGTGAATGTCCAACAAAACTTCGATGCACACTTATCAGGCCAGCGAGAACTCCAAACTGCAGCGGCTTGAAGCTCGAACCACTTCCATTTGAGATGTTCAAACTTCCAGCAGTTGGAACAACAAAATTGTACCAAGCATGGCACGCTCGTTGGCTCGCCTTGACCCCCTGCGCACCTGGTCTGGATGCACGTAGATGAGGGTCGACCCCCTGCTGAGCCCCCTGGTCCGCACCTCCCCCACCATCTTGGCGAACATTTCGCACATCTCATCAGCAGCCTCCTCTGGCAGCGCGAGCACGCTGGCTGCGTGGTCTTTCCCAGGGCGGCCGATCTGGGTGATGGTCACACAAAGCTCGCCGCTTTCGATTGCGGGTACGGGCACGCTGCCAGCACAGAGAACAGCAAGCCGAGTGCTCAGTGAAAGATAGCGATTAAAGGGAGGGATGGCGATGGCAAAAGATGGCATTCAGAAGGTGGAGATGAAGAAAGGGGTGCAGCAGAGCAGGCTGCATGGTTAATTCTCCGTTGGTTCTTTCTGGGTTCTGCACAACTGGTGAGCTGGAATTGTGCTTAAGTACTGAAATGGAATTGAAATTGATCAACTGACAGGGAATCAGCAACAATGAATTGAATAGGGCCAGGATTCACCCCAGTTGATGGGTTGCAACATCATTTTCAGAACTTTCATTCAGTGTTCCCATGTTTAATAACTGCTATGCTACCTTGTGCTGCAAGGTAGTTTCTGGCAAAATAAGAAGGTGCTCGTTGCCCTAGCCAGAAAGGGTGTCCATACAACACACAGCAACAATGTGAATCATCAATAACAAATGGGGTTTACAGTTCATTCATCAAATTGTGAAACTTCACCAGTGGGCAACACGCACTGTTCATGGCCATTTAATGTTTTGCTTTTGTCCACTTCCACAATTCATGTATTTCCTTTCCATTTCTACATTTGTTCCGTGCACATGACTAATCTTCATTTCAATTTTGTTCACTTTCGGTCCAACTCCATTCCATTCCGCATCATTTTTTCCCATTCTGCCATGCCAGCGACCTCACCTGGCCGTGTGCTCACCCTCGACAGCCAGCTCCTCGCTAGCCACCAGTGTGCCACCGCGGGTCATCTCCACCCGCAGCGATTCCTTGGGGCCCGGCGACCGGGACAGTCGGAGGTCGAT